TATATATATTAGCAGTGAAGTTGACTAAAGTGCTTTCCAATAATAAACAGAGATAACAGTTAAAAGCCATACATTAAGCAGAGAAATAAATTAATGTAAAATAAATACACAAATGAAAAAGAAGATAAAAATTAAATATTAAAACATAAGTAAAATAGACAAAATCTACAATGAATAAAATTAACAAAATAAAAAGATTAAGAGTGACCAACAGCTGACTAAAACTGACTACAAACTGACTCTGGTACTACACCTAAAAAGCCTTTGAAAAAAAGTGTGTTTTTAAAAGTGATTTAAACATTTCAAGTGTTGGGGCCAGTGTAATATGGAGGGGCAGTTTATTCCATAATTTGGGGGCCACAACAGCAAAAGCTTGGTCCCCCAGTTGTTTCAGTCTAAACAAGGGGACAGCAAGGGGTGACTGGTCAGTTGATCTAAGCGACCTTTGTGGAGTGTACAGGTGTAGAAGGTTTGACAGGTAAATAGGAGCCAGGCCATTTAAAACGTTAAAAGCAAAAAATAAAATTTTAAAATGAATTCTAAAACGGACAGGCAACAGGTGTAAAGAGGCAAGAACAGGGGTAATGTTCTCACGTTTGCGTAACCCTGTGAATAGGCGAGCAGCAGCATTCTAGACCTGCCTCAGCTGAAAAAACTATTTCTCACCACTGTATTTATCTGTTCGTCCATTTTAAGAGCAACAGAGAGATTCATGTTTTACTATGTATTAATATATCACTGATGGGACATGAGGCCTGCTGAAGGCAGTCAAACTGAGGCCAGACTCAAGGTGATGAAAACCATCACTTGTTGAGCAAAATGAAGCTCTTCTGCTGCCACCTACTGGCTCTTATTCATCTGTGACTTTTTACACAGCGCATACACTCACTGGCCACAATTTTAGACACACCTGCTAGGTCTGCTATGTGAATCTCACAGAGAACATTGTGCAGTGCATGAACTGTTATTTGTTTTTCATTATTAAAATGAATGTTAGAAATAAACAGCAGCTTTTTTGTGACACTGCTCTAAATACGGAGTATGAACTGTACAAGATGATGGGATTCCTCCATCCTTTACACCAGTTTACTGTCCTGTCAGATTCTTCGTTCGGCCGAGAGCTGCACACTCGTTTTATTGTCTGCGCCTGACCTCAGTTATTGGAGAGCTTCAGTGCCACTCGACAGCAGAGTAAGACCAATTTTAGATAGTGGTTGGTTAATTTTTGTTGTCTGCAGATGTTATAGCAATGTAGCTATTTAAACTATTTGTTTTGAAT